CCCCGAGAGGCCAGAATCCTTCAAACACCGAGTAAGGCACATCAGCGATGTTTGTCTTCTCGCCGTTTCGCTTCCGATGCGCTTTTGAGGCTTGAACGTGGCCACATCGATGGCCCTAGAGAGGCCCAAGAGGGGCCCAAGAGGCCCCCCAGACGGACCCAAAGAGCCCAAGAGCTGATTAGCAACTAAAGGGCCCCTAACCATTTGGGAGCGGACCCAAGTTAAGAGGCCAAAAGCATTAGGGATAGGGGGCCTGCTCCGCAGATGTAGCAAACCAAGCCACCCAGGCTTCCTATCCCTGATGCAGGCACGGGGACCTAAATTTGGCTACGTCATCATTGTGTGATAAAGGTCAAGGGTTCGTCTTTGTTTTCCAAGCCCGTCCTGTGGTGGTGAGCCCTTGTTTTGCAAAGACAGCGCCCTGTGTCCACACTCCTCCCGGTGCACCCTCCTCCTGTCTTTTTCCCAACCATCCTGTGGTGTTGGATCCTCGTTGTGAAAAGACAGCGCCCTGCGTTCCTTCTTCCTCTCCTCTCCTACTCCCCCTCCTCCCTCCTCCCCCTCCTTGCCTCTGCCCGCCCCATGTCTCTGTTTCGACACACCGCTCACACGCTTCGCGGCCCAGGCCCCACAGGGCGCGCCACCGAAGGCCCCAGTGGCAGGGTTCGCATGGCTCAGGCGCAACCGTTTCGGCACACCCCTCACGTGTTTCGTGGCCCCATAAGAAGCTCCACCGAAGGCCTCACTGGCAAGGTTCGCATGGCGACACCGAACCAATTTAGGCACACCCCTCACTTGCTTCGTCGCCCCGAAGGAAACTTCACGACCGACCCAGTGACAGGGTTCGCATGGCGTCAACGCATCCACTTTAGCATGGTTTTCACAATCTTTCTCGTTCCAAAAGGAGCTCCATCGAACGACCTAGTGACAGGGTTCGCATGGCGCCGCCACCCACACGCATGTCGGCGCACCCCTCACACGATTCGTGGCCCCATAGGCAACTCCATCGAAGGCCCCAGTGGCAAGGTTCGCATGGCGCTACAACACCCATGTCGGCACGTCCCTCACACACTCCATGGCCCCATAATGAGCTCCACCGTGTGCTCCAGTGGCAGGGTCCCGCGGCGCCACCGCACCCAGTTCGCCACACCCCTCACACGCTTCGTGGCCCCATAGGAAGTCCCACCGAAGGCCCCAGTGGGAGGGTTCGGATGGCGCCACCGCTCCTTCTCGGCACACTCCTCACATGTTTCGCGGCCCTAGAAGGAGCTCCATCGCAGGCCCCTATGGGAGGGTTCGCATGACAGCACCGCTCCATTTCGGTACAACCCTCACACGCTTCGTGGCCCTATGGGGAGCTCCACCGCATGCCCACTGTACCCATTTCGGCACACCTCTCACACGCTTCGTGGCCCCATGAGGAACTCCATCGAAGGCCCCCGTGTCAGGGTTCGCATGGCGCCACGCCATTTATTTCGGCACACCCCTCACACGCTTCGTGGCCCCATATGGAGCCCCACCGAAGGCCCCAGTGGCAGGATTCGCATGGCGCCACCGCGCCCATTTCGGCACACCCCTCACACGTTTCGTTGCCCCATATGGAGCCCCACCGAAGGCCTCCTTGGCAGGGTTCGCATGCCACAAACCCATGAATTTCGGCACTCCCCTCACATGTTTCGATGCCCCATACGGAGCCCCACTGAAGGCTCCAGTGGCACACACGTTTCGTGGCCTCATAGTGAGCTCCACCGAATGCCCCGGTGGCAGAGTTCGCATGGCGCCGCCGTGCCCACATCGGCGCACCCCTCACACGTTTCGTGGCCCCTTAGAGGGTCACATCGAAGGCCCCAATGGCAGGGTTTGTCCGGCGCCACCGCACACATCTCGGCACACCCCTCACACGCTTCGTGGCCCCATAAAGAGCTCCACCGAAGGCCCCAGTGGCAGAGTCCGTCACGCGCCACCGCGCCCATTTCGGCACACCCCTCACACGTTCCGTGGCCCCATATGAAGCTCCATTGAAGGCGGGGCATACAACTGCGGTACTCACACCTGCACATGGCCGGGTCCCTCGCCAGGATAACTCGTCATAGAAATGCTGCCCAAGAGCGCCCAAGAGGGGCCCCAAACGGCGATGTTGATGCCCGCTAAGGGCCTCCTGGCGGAGGACCCCTACTGAAGAGCCCCCTCGCCCCTTTTGATCGACCGAGGTCCTCCTTGGCTTCCACGGGGCCCCCAAGAGGGCTCCAAGAGGGCCCCAGGACCCACCAAAAGCGCCCCAAGAGGATGCCAAAATCCCCCCAAAAGTCACCCAAAAACTCCGACCGGCGATGTTGATTGCTTCGTCCTCGTCCTCATTGTCCTCCTCAACCTCGTCCTCGTCCCTGCCCTCATTGTCTTCCGTTTACTGTTCCGCTTCTTCCGCTGCGTGGTCGGCGTAGTCATCGTCTTCCTCCTCCTCCTCCTCCTCCTCCTCGCCCCACCTGGCCCGAAGAGGCCATCCGAGGCCACCCCCTCGCTCTCAGAGATCTCCCTGTTCACCCTGGTTGCCCGGTTTGTTTCACCACACGTGGCGTGCCTTGCCATTTTCAAGTAAACTGTCATGGGCACGGTGTCTAAATGGACTGGTGGTGATACGCGAAGCGTGACGACTTGTGTCACATTGCGCAGTGTTCCTTTTGTTTCACCTCCTCGTCTCCTTCCTCCTGCTCTTCCTCGTCGTCATAAACACCGTGATCGCCATCGTCATCGCCATCATCGTCATTGACATCAGCATCAACATCAGCATCAGCATCAACATCAGCATCATGGTCACGGCCATCAACACCAACATCACCATCACCATCAACATCAGCGTCACAAACATCAACACCATCTACATCATCAACTTTCGCGTCGTCGTCATCATCATCAGCATCATCATCGTCATCATCATCATCATCATCATCATCATCATCATCATCATCATCATCATCATCATCATCATTCTCATTATCAGCATCAGCATCAGCATCAGCATCATCATCATCATCATCATCATCATCATCATCATCATCATCATCGTCGACAGCATCATCAGCATGATGATGATCATAATCGTCATTATCAAAAACACCATCATCGTCATCGTCACCACCATCAACATCATCCCACTCGTCATCCTTACCATCATCAGCATGATCCTAATGATCATCGTGGTCATGATCCTGATACTGATCCTGATCGTGATCATCGTCAAAACCAACAAAATCATCAGCCGAAACATCAGCATCGCGATCGCCACCACCAACACCATCATCACCTAGTCAGGATCATCAGCATCATCAGCATCATTATCATCATCATCATCATGACCACTATCACCATCACCATCGTCATCGCCATCAGCATCATCAGCGCCATCAAGCACAGCATCACCAAAAGCATCAGTATCAGCATCAACATCGTCATCCACATCATCTCCGTCAGCACCAGCACTATGTTCATCTTCAACTTCTCACCATCACCATCAACATCACCATAACAATCACCATCACCATCATCATCAGCATCAGCATCAGCATCAGCATCATCATCATCATCATCATCAGCATCATCATCATCATCATTTTTCATCATCATCATCATCACAATCATCATCATACGCAACGCCATCATCACAATCAACATCATCATCATCATCATCATCATCATTATCATCATCCGCATCAACCGCATCAACAACATCATCATCATCATCATCATCATCATCATCATCATCACATCAGCATCAGCATCAGCATCAGCATCAGCATCATCATCATCATCATCATCATCATCATCATCATCATCATCATCATCATCATCATCATCATCATCATCATCATCGGCAACGTCAACATTGTCACCATCACCGCTGTCCCAACTCTGGAAACACATAATGTCATAAATGAGCGCCTCCCGTGACCCCTCGACTAACTGCCACCCAGAATGCGGGGCTGGAGCGGTGGCGGGAGTTGCGGCAGGCAGCTGGATACCCAGACACTCGTATGCACGCGAGGGAACAAGTCATGCGACAGTCAGCGGGAGGAACCACACTGCATCATAAGACCGCCCGCACTGTTGCAAGATGGGCGGGGAGAGCACCGACATCGTGGTGAGGCCATGCGGACGAGGGCGTGCATGCAACGGGGCGAGGATGAGCAGAACATGGAAGGGGGGATATGGGAATGAAGAGGGGGCAGAGGAGTGAAGGGTAGGGGGGGGGCGGAGGAAAAGGGGGGGCGGAGGAAAAGGGTGGCCGGAGAAAACAGGTGAGAGGGAGGGCGGAAGAAAACTGGGGGGTAATAGGACAACGAAGAGGGGTCTTAGGAGGAAGGGATGGGTTGGATGCGGATCGGGCCGAAGGCCGATAAGGAGGAGTGCGACAGAGGAGGGGCGGCCAGAGGAGGATGATTAGGACGACGAGGAAGGAGTTTCAGCTCCCTGGAACAGTCGCCGACGAGCGACAAAGGGGCCCGAAGGGGACCAAAAGGGGCGAAGGACGGGACTCAGGACCCAACGCACAGCCGAAAGAGGGGTCCAGCCGAAAAACAAGGACCGAGACCACGAAGGGCCACAGTCGCCAAAGCCAGCTGGCAAGCTGGCGGCAGAGCAAGCAGGCTCGCATTAAAAGCAATGGAACCTGCATTATTTCCATCATCGTCCTCACATCCACCCATAATGCTCACACCCTCCCCCACCCGCGGAGCTGCTACAAGTGACTGCCGCTTGTATCTCACACCAGACAGAGAACGCGGGGCCTCACGTATAGCCTTTGGCTTGTGTCCCGACGTCGATCGGGAACACCATCAGTGCGCCATCAGGAGCACGGAAGCTGTTGGCAGCGAGCTTGAACGGGGGGGGGCTCCAGCCAGGCCTGGCGATCGCTCGGCGGGTTGCCCACCAGATCGTACTGGCACGCCGGCGTGGCAAGATATCTTTACGATGGACGTCAGAAATAGGATCCTCATCATCGCGAGCTATGTGCCCAGCGTCAAAAAGCACGCGAGTAGGCTCGCGCCCTGCAGCTGGAGCTGCATGTACATCGCCGCCAGGCGCCGCAGCCCCAGGCGCCGCAGAGACACGGCGAACAGGCACAAGAAGAACGACGACAGGAACATGACGCTGAACCTCAAGATCGTCCGCAAGGGCACCAGGAGGCACGTCAGCAGAAGCATCATCATGTGAGTCATGAAGCGCAGCAAATACACGGGGAACCAGGATTGCACCACGATTATCCCAGGTCCACGCGTCGAACAGCGACAGGACGAAACCCTGCAACGACCGCTCCAGGGCTGGTGAATGCCGCGGCGCCGCAAGTGCACACAATACCAGTCGCCTTCACAAGCTGGGCGGGCATGAGTGCAGGAGCCTCAGCACGAAAGATGAAGTCCACCTTCTTAGCGGGCTGCGGCTGCAGCGCATACTTTTCCACGACAGGGCAATCCCACACCTGGCCGTGCAGCGCCGCGACGGGCGCCTGGCGGCCCAGCTCCCAAACGGGCTGCAGCGCGGCCGGCGCATCCACAGCGCCAGGGGAGTGAGCAGCTGTTTGAGAAGTGCACGCGTGGACACGCGTCTCCAGTCGTGGGCCGTGCCGGGCGTGCTTGAGCTCATCCAGCGATGCGTCCACGAATTTTAGGCCTTCACCATCAACATGCAATGCAATGTTCCTCCAAAGCCTGTCCGTGTGCTCAGGAGGCTCACCTGCAAGAAGCTTCCGCAGAAACGGCACTAATGCCAGCAGCCTGTCTGCCCACTCGGAAGTGCCGCCAGAAAGGTCTTCAATACAGTCGGGGCCTTGACCTAAGGAACCCTAAATAAGGAACGAGGGCCTTTTTTTCACAAGTTAAACCTCGACTTCCTATCGAAAACATAAGGGAAACCTGAGGCGAGCTGTGAAACACTTGAGGAACGCGGAGCCCCTCTCCAACGAAAAGGGTTCCTTCTTCAGGGCCCGACTGTAGCTTTGAATGCCTCCAGCCGCTTAACCTCATCTCTGGCCGCGGTCAGCCCCAGATCGGCCGACGCCAGCGCCCCGCGCCGAGCAGCAGAGCGTCCTGCCCGTGCGCGCCCCCGACCATCACACGGATCACCAGGCGGCGACCCCGCCCGCGCCATCCCGAACACCCCGCGCGCGCGCGAAGCCGACTTGAGCCGAAATGGCTAACGGACGACGAGGAAGGAGGAACGGGAGGATAGAGGGAGGACGAGCAGGCAGAGGAAGAGGAGCAATGGGAAGGGAGAGGACGATGAGGCGGCGGAGGGTCAGTCAGGACAGCAAGGGTGAATGTCATCGTCGTGGGGCCGTCGAGGTCGCTGAAGTCGGACTCGGAGCCCTGCGCGACGCCGAGCAGCGGGACGACGCGTGAGCCCGACAACGGCGGTGTTGCTCCCTCATCTCCCTCCAGCCTCATGCCGTAGTGTGTGCGCCCCCCCCCCCCCCACACACACACACACACACACACACACACACACACACACACACACACACACACACACACACACACACACACACACACACACACACACACACACACACACACACACAGCCGCCTCACATTCCTCGGATCCTTCTCTCCCTTTCTACTCTCATTGGTCGTCCACTCCTCCTCCTCCTCCTCCTCCTCCTCCTCATCATCATCATCACCCTGTTCCTCCCTCTCTCCTTCGTCCTCCCCTCCTCCTCCTCTTCCTCCTCTACTCACCCTCCTCCCCTCACCTTTTTTCATTATTCCCCTGCCGCCTCTTTTATATACCTCTGCTACCTGCTCAGCGACCGCAAGCCTCCATCTCCAACTCCTCCTCCTCATCCCCTCCTCCATTCTTGACCTGCAGAAGAATATGGCCCGGGACCTGAGCTGTCGCCAAGCAAGGGACAGGATGAAGGGGGAGGAGGAACCGTAACCATGGAAGCGAGCGGAGTGTCGGCCACACGCAAGCTCCCCGTCGCTCGGACGTTCATTCCCTGTGTTCGGTTCCGTGCGTGTTTTTTTTCGCAGGATGATCCAGGATGCTCCTGAATAATCCCCGCCGAGAAAAGTGCACACGTCCGAGCGATACCAAGCAAGATCGACACTGGGCAAGAATGACCTCTGCTGCTGCTGGCCGGTCGCTGCATGCGATGTGGCAAGAGCGGCCTGCCTGCTCGGGTGTCCTCTGTCTGAAGTGCGCGGTGCCAACAGCGTGGATTCTCACTATCATCTGTCGCATTCTCCTCTCTCTCTGTCTTTCTCTCTCTCTCCCTCTCTCTCTCTCTCTTTGTGTGTCTCCTCCCATGGCAGAGGTGAGCAAGGACCGTGCTGCATCCATAGCCATATCAGAGACAAGCGGAGCGCTGACCCGAGGAACCCAAAATACAGAACGGGGCCCCTTTTTTAAACCAGAAATTAAGGCTTCGATTTCGCATGGAAACCATGAAGAAAACCAAAGGCAAACTGTCCGTGAAACAGTCGAAGAACACGGACCCCCTCCCCAACGCAAAGGGCTCCGTTTTCAGAGCCCCGACTGTTACAGTCAACCTGTATAGTAAGGATGCGCGATAAGGATGCAAGGGCTTGGGGAGCCCATTCCGAAGCTTCCCGACCGGGGCGCGGCCAACCGAAGTGGCCGAGGATGGACCGAGGAGGCAGGGATGCAAGGGTACCCTTGAGAAGGTTGCCCCTCCTTACTGTGCGGGTTGACTGTTGTCCCCCCCCATGGGGACCCGGGGCTGCCAGAAGGAATGCGAGACGAGGAACGAAGCCCCTTCTGGGCACCGGAAGAGCCCGGGTACACGAGGAGGGCTGGAGGAACAGCCACGAGAGGACCCGAGGAACACCGAGGCCCATCCGAACCCTCCTCCTCCTCCTCCTCCTCCTCCTCCTCCTCCTCCTAGACTGCTCCTTACTTCAGCGTCGTGGCCTGCGCCGGCCCCCGGCCGAACTCACCACGAATGGGGCGCTGGCCCTCCCTAGGGGAGGCTCCCTTGGGAGCTCGAGGACAGCGCCCGAGGCCTCCCAGGAGGCTCCCGAAACGGTCCAGGAGGACCCGAGTCGCCCAAAGAGACGGAGCCGAACTCTGTACACCGTTTCGTCCGGCCCCGCACTGACATTCGCACGGGAAAGCGGATCCTGGTGTGCACGGGATCCTGGTGTATACATGTTTCGCTGTTTCCCTGGGAAAACGAAGAAACAAATATACGCAACACCACCAGACGTCGTCCCCGACCCTCAAAAAGTCCTGGGATTGAGAAAGAGCCCGCCAATGGTAATGTATATGTTCAAGTTTCCGAACTGATCGTTCCAAGACGCCCACGATGGCCTCGAGACGCCCCAAGATGGCCACGATGCCGCCAAAACGCTCCAGGATGCCCCAAGAGGCCTCCAAGAAGCAAACAACTTCCATTTCCCTTGGAACAACGTATATGTTTAGAATATTCGCCTCCTGTGCTTTCACTACGTCCAAGACGCCCCCCCTTTTCCCCAACACAATAACCTGAGAGGTTGTCCAAGACGGCCCCAACAAACGCTCCACGGCGGCCCAAGAAACCCCCAAAATGGTCCAAGAGGGCCCCAGACGGCCACAAAATGAGGCCCAGAGGGGGAACCCGAACCATAATTTCAAGCCTTCGGCTCAAAACGCCCCCCAGGTTGCCCCAAGGGGCCCCCAGGGAGCCCCAATATGGCCCCCGAAAGCCCCCAAGGGCCTCCCAGGAGGCCCCCAAGAGCCCCCAAAACTGCCTCCAAGAGGCCCCCAATAGGCCTCACATGAGACCCCTATCAGCCCTCCGACTGCCCTCAGACCCACAACCCAGGCATTATGGCGAGATGACCCGAAGGTCATTCGATAATCGTTCCCCTGGTGTTTTGACCAGATGCCCGCAGTCTGTGAACGTGGGTTTTCGCCTGTTTCTCCATGCGCGCGTGGCGAACACTGAGAATGTCAGCCGCGGAGCATACAACGACCTCAGGAATCGTCCCTCTGGACTCTGACGCTGACACTGCCCCTCCTCCAGTCAGCGCTCCGAAGCGACCCAGCGAAGCATCCCTGAAATTCAGACCCAAACCCATGCCGAGATGGACCGAAGACCATGAACGACTTCACGGTCCGGGAGCCTGCGGGGGGTCTCCAGACACAGTGACAACATTCGTTCCGGGGGTGCCGGAATCGTCCCGAACGGCCACCAGGGGCCTGAGTTGAGGCCCCAATGCCGGATCTTGACTGTTCCTCCTCCGCCTCCTCCACCGCCTCCTCCTCCTCTTTCCCTTTCCCCTCCTCTGGGGGCGGCCCCAGAAGGAACCGCCCTAGCAAAGTCTCATGAGGTCAGTTATGATGGGAGCTCGCAGCGGTCGGCGCTATGGAGGGGGAGGAGGGGGAGGAGGAGGAGGAGGAGGAGGAGGAGGAGGAGGAGGAGGAGGAGGACCTCCTCCTCCTCCTCCTCCTCCTCCCCCTCCTTCGTTATGATGGGTCTCATGGGGCTTCCGCCACCGCGCTGGGCCCCTCGGCACCCCTGCCCGCCTCGGGCGGGGCAGGCCCGCGGGCACGCGCGGCAGCCGCAGGGGCGACGACTGCGCGCGGCAGAACGTCTCGAGGTCCCCAAACCTCCGAGGGGGACAGAGCGAAGGCCCTCCGCCCAGCCCAGCTCCCGAGGCTCCCGCGGAGGGAGAAACAGGCAAGGGGCGCGGGAGCAGGGATCCCGAGGAAGGGTCTTCGCCCCTGCGATGTGCTTTCAACGAACGGCGGCCCCAGTCCGGGGCAGGGACGCAGGGCCTGTCGATCTTGAGAACTTGCTGGACTCCGTGCACCCCACAGCGCGGGCACCAAACAACACCTTCGGTGGCCCCCCCCCGCCCACCACAAGCGATGGGACGGGTGGGCACGAGACAAAGTGTCTGGAGCGCCAGGGCAGGGTCGAGCGACGACCTTGCAGCGATACATCCCCGACCGACCGCGGGACACGCACCCGCAGCGGCCTCGAATGAGCTTGACTTGGTGGCCCCGCGGGTCCGAGACCACAAAACGGACCCTGAGGACCTTGGGACGGACCACATCAAGAAAATCCGCGAACGCCAAATGGTGCAGGATACGCCCCGTGTAGGCCACATGACGGCTAGCCCACCAGGCCAGCGATCGCCTGTGGGGCCAGTCTTCGTTCCTGGAATGTGCCCTGGCCCCCCGCTTAGCGAACTCGTCCGCCAGCACGTTGCCTCGAAAGTGAAGCCAGGGCACACCGCGTCTCTGGGCTTCGGGCCAACTTTTGCGCGACGGCACCCAGCGGACCGCAACCTCGTCTGCCCCCAGGTCCTGCAGCTTGAACCAAATCCGACCCCAGACTTCGGAATAGAGACGATCCGGGCGCACGCATCGCGCCTTCCCCGCGGCGGCCCTGTCGACGATCGCATCGCAATGCGCGACGGCCGCGATGGGAGTAACAGCAGGAGACAGGCACTGGAAGAAAACCCACAGCTCGGCGAGGCCAATCTCCTGCAAAACGGTGGG